TCCCTCCTCTCTCCTTCCTCCCTCTCCCTCTTCCTCTCCTTCCTTCCTCTTTTTTGCGTTTTTTTTTTTTGAAAATTTGCCCCCCAAAACGACGTCGTTTTGGGGGCGACAGGGGAAGGCGACAGGGAAGGGCAACCGACGATCCGGATTCTTTAAAAGCAGAGTATCTTTTTAGACTTTGGTGAGTTTACTGTGGAGTCGATATTAATAATCTGAACAGTTTAATATTTTATTAATGTTAGGTATTATGAAAAAAAATTTATGAAAATAATTATGAAAGATTTGTGACTCTTGAATTACACTTAGAATAAAGCACCACATACTAATTAAGGTAATCCAACGATCATAAATTATTCTTGATCATTTTTATGAAAAAAATTTCATGATTCCTAACTTTTCTCTTAATATTTAGGATTCATTAAGTAATTCATCTCTTCAAAAAAATCATATTAATTGTATATTAGTCACTTGATTACATTAAATTTGTGTTAACGGTAACTATGATTTTAAAAATAAATTATTGAAACAAATGTTATTTGATTAAGTAGTTATTAATATCTGATCAATGTAATTTTTTACAAAAATAAAATATTCAATGAGTCCTATACATTGAACAATTCAAATTATTGATATGAATATCGTAATGGGTCCACAGAAGCACAACAAAAAAAGTCCAATTAAGAAACTCACCTGAAGATGAGCACTGCCCCGAAAGAAAGGGCTACTTTTGGCATGATAGAGGGCTTAACTAAGAATGAAAAAGCATTATTTAATGAGGTAATTATTGGGTGTCTTTAATTATTTTATTACATTATACTCTAATTAGAAGACAAATGAAGGACATTGTTACTATTATCTCACCTCTCTTCACATTAGTCTATGTTTGTTTGGATTAATTAATTTAGATGAGATTAGAATTTTTAAGATCGTTAATTTTGAAAGAATCAACCTTTTCTATTTGTGTATCCATATTTGAATTGACTTGAAATTATGAAAAATGATTAATTTTGTAGTTTTCGAGTGGACTGTTAGTTAAATTCTAATTTTTGTTAAGTGAGCATAAAATTATATATTTTGTTAAATTATTAATTCAATTACAATTTGTTTGGCTTCTTCTAATTTTTAGTGTATTGTTTCAAAATGACAACTATGTCCCGAGTAATGTGACATACGGAAGGTAAAGAAAGAGGGCATTTTCGAAAGTAATGACAATTACAAGGAGTGGAGCCTCACTCGATAATGGTTAGGTAGCAAGCATTAGCTACAATGATAGAAAATACCTTTTCAAATGGTTAGATCGAAACAATATGAACAAATAAAGACACGTCAGTGGTGGTCATTGTGCATGCAGCAGTGGTGGTGGTGGTTGAGTATTGGTGGTGGCAATGGCAAAGTGATGGTAATGATCTGATAGTGTTAATAGAAACAGTTATCATATATTGATAGTATTGATAACACTTCAATTTGAAAAATGTTTTTACTATTTAAATTATAAAAAATAATTTATATCTAAATCAATTCATATTTTGTTGATCTTAAAAAATATTTTCTCTTCACTTTTTGTCTGTATTTTTTATGATATAAAATATTATATTAAAATATAAATTTTAAAAAAATATATATTCTAGAACAAACTGTGCCTAAATTAGAATACACTAAAAAGGAGTTACGTGTAAATGCACGACTTACCATTACAAAATGTACTTTGTATGCTATCACTAGCCCGTAGAAACGTGGTTGAATTTCAATCTATTTCCAGGAAAGTTATTGGATGCTTATGGAGCAAGGCCATTTGATGCTATACGAGTGTTATGATCGACAAATGAAGTGGGGTTTATAATTTTGCCTTGTTCGATTAGAAAGTACAAAGAAACATGATATATGATAGATATATAATGATTAGTGTAAGAGCATCAACACATGAAGTTTCAGGACTACTTAATAATTTTTTTACATTTTCAACAACCTTAATGCTGTGTTTGGTTGAAAGATTTGAGGAGGGATTTAAAAAGGAAAATAAAAAGGGTAAGTGAAATGTGAATAAAACATACTTATATTTCACCTAGTTTCACACATCTTTTCCCTTTCCCTTTTCAAATCTTTCTCAAAATCCCCCGACCAAACACAGCGTAAAGGATCGTTGGAGAACTTAAAAAAATAAATAAATAATTAAATAATAAAAAATAATTCAGAAGGTTTTAAAAAAATTTAAATTATTAAATTATTTCTCATCAATTTAAAAGTCAAATATTGAATCAATTTCTTCACTCAATTTTTTTTTAACAATTGATCAAATATATTAACCTTTTTAGTTTTAAAAAAAAAATAAAAAATTTACCACTGAAAAAAAAAAAAAATTGAACTCCCGACGCCGACTAAATCAGGTTTGAAATTAGTGATGACTTGAATAATCCCTAGTGAACAAAAAATGCAGTTGGCCAAATATTCTCGGGATAAGTACGTTTAATGAAAATGAAACAACGATGGTAGTGCTGTGAAATGAGTTAGTCCCTGGGCATTCACTGAGATATGGGTCATACTACTGATGTAGGTTCCAAAAGTTAAGAAATTGATGATAGGATTGAATGGACCACTTCTCCAATTAAATTGTCTCCATGCAATCTGGTGGGCTATCACACTTCCTCATCATTCTAATGAGAATGGCTATTTACACTTAACTCAGTCAACCAATACTAAATATTAGTTTATTCCTTAATGTTAAAATCATACATTAAAATTTTTTAATTATTAAAAATCATACAAAAAAAACTCTTTTTAGGAGCCTAAATCAATGGTTTTGAAATTAAAAGAGGATAAGTTAATATTTAGACATAATTGAGAGGATAATGTGTTATTAACTCTCATTACCTCTAACCACAAAAAAGGAAAATTAGAAGAACAATGATTTCACAGTCAAAATTTCACTCATAATTATTCAATTATATTTTGTGATATTATATCTTGTTTTGATTTTTTTATATGATTTTATAACATGAAAATTTATTCAAAATTCTTGAAATATGCAGATGATATTTTCAACTAACAAGACTATGAAAAAGAAGATGAATAGGATTGATCTTATCGCCATTTCCAGACCAAAGTGAGCATAGTTGGCTCTACTTGCCCCATTATTGGTTTGGGAGTAATATGAATTGGTATTGTAAGATTAGTGAATAATTATGAGTGATATAAAGATTTTACAAATCCTTATCCATGACTTGGCATAGTATGGAATCTTTTCTAGTGTGAGCAACATCAAAGCAATTATTGGTCCTACATCTTTTAAGTGGCATTAAATATATATAAATACAAACCTATATCGTATACATTGAAAACGAAGTTAGAGCATTATCTATTCGTCTCCCATAATTGAGAATGCTGAGAAGCTTTGGACGCTAGTTTCTATCATTCTAATGACTATATATACAGTTTTTTTTTTTAATGGAAGACCATAAATATAATTTATAGTTATAAAAAAATTGATTTGTTTTTTTATAAAGAATTTGCAAGAAGCCTCCATGGTTGCAATTTGCAAAGACACAATCCCACAACTCCAGTTTTTTTGTCCCTGTTTTTTAAGGCTGTGTTTCATCGTCACCCACTGTGTTTATTACTGAGTCTTACCAGCAACACAATTGGGCTTGTAAGACTCAGTTGCATACTCATGAAATTTCGATTGTTGTTCACAGGTAAGGTTATTAAAAATGGAATCTTATATGAGATCGTGCGCAGAGAGTTACGTTGTGTTTGGTTGGAGGATTTGAGGAGGGATTTGGAAATGGAAAGGAAAAAGTTAGGTAAAATGTGAATAAAATATACCTACATTTCACCTAGTTTCACACACCTTTTCCCTTTCCCTTTCCCTTCCGAGATCCTTCCCCAAATCTCCCAACCAAACACAGCATTATGATTCGGATCATAAGATTTCACTTTCAATGCAATAGAAAATAATTGAAAAGAACATTATTATGTAGTACTAGTACAAAACTTTCAGATATATATTTGAGAGGATATATGGTCGCAATAGGGGGCATGTTGGTCATTTTGACTTGGCAAGAAGAAGAAACTGAAGAACTACTGGCTGATTTTTTGAAGGAACAAATGGGTATAGGCGTTTGTAATCTTCTTCACATCAGACAGTTGTTATGACGACAGGTTTGTTGGGAGATGACTTTCTTTTGCCATCAAAACAATGTGATAAATTTATTTTAGTAATTTAATTCCTATTGCTCTGCAGATCAAATTAGTTAAACAGATGGCAACTAACACTGTTATATTTTCAAACTCTTTTAACTTTAAGACAAAAAGTATAAATATAATTATAATTCATCAGTTAAATTAGTATATAATACAATTTTTTAAAAATATATATTATATAATAATTCTATGGATATAAAACTCACTACATATCTAACGGGTATGATTAGAATTATTTTATATGATTGATTTTAAGTCTGTAAAATTAATTATTGGCACATGTAACTTGGGTTCATGGTCAAATTGAATAAGGAATAAAAAAAGGAAAATCAAAGAAAAGTTGAGAGGGAGAGAGAGGTAGAGGTGAAAGCCAGAACCTGCCCACCAAGTTGCGTTACGAACCACGTTTCTTTCTCTCCCAAAAAATCACCTACAGATCTAATTAGTTAAACAGATGGCAACTAACAATGTTATATTTTCAAACTCTTTAACTGTAGGAAAAAAAAATATAAATATAATTATAATTCATCAGTTAAAGTAGTATATAATACAATTTTTTAAATATATATATATATATATGTGTGTGTATTATATAATAATTCTATGGATATAAAACCCACTACATATAATTTATTAGGTCCACTAATGGGTATGGTTAGAATTATTTTATATGATTGATTTTAGGTCTGTAAAATTAATTATTGGCACATGTAACTTGGGTTCATGGTCAAATTGAATAAGGAATAAAAAAAGGAAAATCAAAGCAAAGTTGAGAGGGAGAGAGAGGTAGAGGTGAAAGCCAGAACCTGCCCACCAAGTTGCGTTACGAACCACGTTTCTTTCTCTCCCAAAAAACCACTATTTAGGGAGTTCTGTCTTCACAACACTTCTTTTCTTAACAACATCTTTCAATCTTTTTCTCTTAGAAGTTTTTTTTCTTTTTTTTTAACCTCTCATTCCCTCTCTTTAGCCATATTCTTTCTAACTTCACATATAAATCTCTTTAGTCATCATCTCTCTCTAACAATTTGTTTCCTCTGTTTTTCTCGCACCAATACAGAATTCTAGAGATCATTTGCTAGGAGAGACCATTTCAGATTCATAGGTTTTAAGATCTGGGTTTAAGCTATTTGGTTCTTTGGTTTTGAATTCTATAGATTATTTCTTAGAAGACTCATTTAGAATTTAGAAAAAGCTCATAGCTTTGACCTGTGAGAACAGAGGATTTCAGAAGAAATATTTAGTAATGGAAAAAGGTTCAGGTATTTGTAGGGACGATGAGCAAATGGAATTGCCTCCGGGTTTTCGATTCCACCCAACCGACGAAGAGCTTATAACTCACTACCTTTCCCATAAAGTTCTTGAGAGTAGTTTCTGTGCTAGAGCCATCGGAGACGTCGATTTGAACAAGGTCGAACCCTGGGATTTGCCTCGTAAGTCTCTTCTAATTAATTAATTGTGTACACTTTTTATTTGCTACTCTGTTTTGATTCTTAATTAACCATACTTATGAACTCTATTGTGTATTGAAAATGAAGGGAAAGCGAAAATGGGCGGAAGAGAATGGTACTTCTTCTGTGTTAGAGATAGGAAGTACCCAACTGGTTTGAGGACTAACAGAGCTACTGATGCTGGTTATTGGAAGGCAACGGGAAAAGACAAGGAGATTTATAGGGTCAAAACCCTAGTTGGAATGAAGAAAACTTTGGTTTTCTACAAAGGGAGAGCTCCTAAAGGCGAAAAAACCAATTGGGTCATGCATGAATATAGGTTGGAGGGCAAGTATTCCCTCTACAACTTGCCTAAAACAGCCAAGGTAGAAGCCTCATCCTCTGTTTTCTTCTTTTGCTTTCACTCTGTTCTTTCATGATAATTTCTTTTCATGACTAGTTTTTAGGTATATATACGAAATCATTATTGGGAACAAGTCCCAAAGGAATTAAGCTTTTCATATGATTCGAACTTATGATCGGCACTTTTTGAGGCACTTATCATGACTCAACTTGCCTCTGGCTAACCCCTCGGGATTTATTGTCTTTTTGCAGAATGAATGGGTGATTTCGAGAATTTTCCAGAAGACTTCAGGTGGGAAGAAGACACATATTTCTGGGTTGCCGATGATGAACAGTTACGGCGACGACGACGAATCACAGCCTCAGAATTTGCCCCCATTGATGGACTACTCTTCTTCAGCTCATGATGATCAGACAAGAAGAATAGCCACGAATACGTCTCACGTGACCTGCTTCTCCGATCCAATGGAGGACGACAAGAAGCCCCAAGAAACCATGCTTGACACCTTCAACAAGCCTTCTGATCTCTTTTCCACTCATTTTTCGCCGAATTTAGAGAATTTGCAGTACACAGACCCTGCTTTAATGGAGGATCAATCTATACTAAGGTTTTTGCTTCAGAATAATGGGATGAATATGAAGAGGTATTCGAAAGCAGAGTACTCGGCGGAGACCGGCATAAGCACTGATATCTCTTCGAACCATGAAATGGGTCAGATCTCTTATGAAGATCCAATCAATTCTGCTGGAGGACCAGTGGACCTTGATTGCCTCTGGAATTACTACTAAATTTGAAGATTAAAAAAGAAGAAGAAGAACAGTAGAGAAAATAAAAGAAGAATACAGTGAGGAAAGGGAAATATTTATGATGTCTAGTAAAATTTATATTATTATCAAATTGTTGTTGTGTGTAGTAGTGTGTACAGATTTTCCAATTCTAATGATTTGTAATATATGAAACCAAATTCTCTATCTCTGTCTCTCTCATTTCAGTCCATCACTTCACTGTAAGAGTGTCTTATACTCTCTCTCTCTCTCTTTCTAGAATGATTTCTCCATTAAAAAGTCTATAGAAACCAGAAATAGTTGAGAAATTTGCCAAGAATTTCAAATTTATGGTGCATTTCTTATTGTGGCATCTCATCTTGTGTAAATCTTGACTATGGATAGATGTTAAATTTTGGGTATTTTTTATCTTTTATTTTATTTTTGAATTTGTAGTATTGTTGTTTCTTGTTTTGTATCTAATGTTGTGGATAATTGAGTATTTCCTTCTTCTTCTTCTTTTTTTCTTTTTAAAAAAAATAAATTTAAATGCTCATTTGTCTTGATGTTCGTACTATGATAACTTAGTTAGTTAATGAGGGTATATAATTTTTTGTTTGCTGGAGATTAGTTAGTGAAAGATAATTCGGAATTATGAAGTTTGTGTCATTGTGTCACTCTCTTTCTCTTCAATTTTTGGGTTAGGTGTTAGGCCACCAACCAAGATTTGAGAATACATTAGAGAATTGGCCAATAGAGCACGTCTTATACAAACGTCCACCTAGCCTCTTTACTGATACTCATGCAAATATACGAGCCCGCCGGAGAAATGTCAAAAAGTAGCCAAAGTCTTCTAATGATCGATAGAAAGTTGCCGGCTCATGGTGGGGATGGAGATAAGAGTGGAAATTGGTTCTGAAAAAGAGTTTAAAAAAAATACTTGTTTTTCCTTTCTAATTTTTTTTTTAAATTTTAAAATTAATTTCACTTCTTTTTAAACAAAACTTAGCACATTTTTGCAAGTTTTGGTCGGATTCATCATCACTTGGTGTCGAATCTGCACAGTTTAAAAGTGCATTAATAAGATTGTTCTTAAGAGTACTAATATTCTTAATGTTTTTCATTCATAAAAGTTACATGCCTCCAAAAGTATTTTGAAAAGTCTATAAAAATGAAGTATAAACAGTAATAAATTGATTTATACCTTTCATTTTTGTAATAATAACCGTGTGTCATGTTGCTATGTCATGTTTTCACTCCATGTTGTTTTGCTAATGAAATTTTGTTCCTTTATTCATTTTTTTATCAACGGTTCTACAGAACAATAAACAATAATCATGATTTTGGTAATCAAAGCATAATTGACAGTCACTTCAATGCAATCTATCTCACTTTTTTCAATAAAAAAATAATCTAAATAAATATTTGTTATAATATTCGAGATCATATTTTTCGTAGACTTTCCCTTTTCTTATATATTGTTAAAGACATTACGTTCTCACTTTTGTCATGAAGGTGAAGAAGGTGTGACTAACACACACAGCTAAAAATAAAAATAAAAATTGACTCTTTTTTTTTCCTTCAACATGCGATAAACAAGGGAAGTTTCAGTTTTTGAGAAAATTGAATATTTTCATCATTTAATCCAAAAAATTTCAAATTTTGGTTTCTTTCAAATATTTTGAATTTTTTTTTCCAAAATCACTTTCTCTCTTCTACATATCAATCAATTACTGTTTCTATATCCTTTCTCCTCCTCAATCACTTTTTCTCTCACACACATCTATTCAACTATAATAAAATATCAAATCATCTAAAACTCTCAAACTTCAAAACTATTTTCAGAATATACAACCATACAAATCAAAAAAATTTATAAACTCTCTCCCAAAAATTTTTTAAAAAAATTTATCTCAAAATACAGACTAAAAACACCCAAAAACTCTCATGAAGTGTGCAGTGTCATCCTTGTTGTAATATCTGAATGAGTGAGTGGCTGGTTGGACTTGTTGGCACAACGTTTCCAGCCACGAATCCTTTTTTTTGTGGTTGATGAATGAGTGTGATAGTTTGTTTATTTATGTATTATAATTAGTTAACATATTGCTTTCTAGAATGACTCTAGTTTAATTAATAACTTCAAATCCCATCAATTATTTGGCCAGTGCACTACTACTAATACTACTGGTACTACATTGAAACAACGAATCTCTATGAATTGTTTTGGAAAGATAATTAAAAGTTGATTTTTTTAATTTTTTTTAAAAAACATGTAAAAACTATGATAGATAATAATGTGACTCACAATGGATTAAAAGCTCAAAAATGACTTTTAACCATCTTTTTAAAATAGCTCTAATGTCAAACCCCGTGCTTCATTTTTTACTAAATCCATGTTTGATTCGTAAATAAGAAATGATGAAATAAAATTATTTTATCTTAGAGATAGTTTTTTCTTGCATTTGGTTCACATTTTGTAATTCTAAATAACTTATTTAAGGCCCTTTTGTCATGTACACACGAGATAATTTGGTTCCGTGGAGTTAGACCAATTATTTTTAGATACGAATTTTATAATAAAATAATAAAATAAATTAACCATTTTATCTTTTCCACGATTTGAACATGGTCCAAGAATATGTATTGGACCGCATAAATTAATATTGCAAGAAGTTTGGAACCTAACGAGTGGGGTGAACATCCAAATACAATATATAATTTAATCATCTATTGAATGTCCAAGCTAGGCAATTATTGGTACCTTATACCATAAATTATATGCTTTGTTATCTTTGAAACTGAGAGGGTAAAAAACGTAAGTCTGGGTCAAGCTAGAACTGGAAAGAAGCGAGCTGAGCTATGGGCTGAGTAGAATGGGCTTTGCCACTGGGCTTTGTTAGCCCGGTCATGGATGACTGAAGTTAGCTCGATTCGAGTATTCTGAACTGGGGTACGAGGAGTTGCGTTATGCAAACAAGTTGATACCGAGCTAGGTAAAGCAAGGTAGAACCGAGTTAAGGAGAGTTCGGTGAAACTTGCCACGTCAATATATGTTAGCCCGACTGCTTTGTCATGCTACCGAGGTAAAACTATTTCACTTGGTTAAAGCAGTGAGGATGGTGTTGAACAATAAGCATTATCTTTCAAGAGTGTGATTCCTAGAAGGACTCGAGAAATAAGAGTCCTACTAGGATCGTGCCACTCGGAACCTATAAAAGTTCATAACAGAACCTATGTACAGATATCACAACTTTGATTCTCGAATACACAGAGCTTTTACCTATTTGTCTATTTGGCCAACTTAGGCATCGGAGAGGTATTCGGTACACACCCGCCAGTAAGCTCACATTTGTGTTTTCAGGGAGTAAAGCGACGACGTTTGGAGGAGCGCAGACTTGATCAACAGAATTATACAAGAACATTATTTCGTGCTCGTACATAAACTATCTCCCTCTCATACTTATTTTTTTCCCTTTACATGACATTGACAGTCTAATGAGTTATCAATAAGAAAAAAAAAAATTTAATTGTAACTTCTACACATTTTATAATAATTCTATATGACATGGATAGGCCCACAAGGCATACGGCCCACAGTAAACCACCCCAAACCCATCGCTCGGGACCAATGGCATAACCCGGTTGGCAAAGCCCAGGACAGCTGGAGGCCATCTAGACATGAAGGGCCAATGGCATTTGGGCACATGGCAGGTGGGGCACGGGCCACATCAGCAGACAAAGATCTGCAGAGTTATTATCACAACACATCACCATTAATGCATCCCATCACAGCATTTATTACGACAGCACCCCCCGCCGGAACAGAGTCTCCATCACCCTGAACAAGGTAAGCTACGGCACAGGCTTTCGGCAAAAGAAAGCACGTCACAAGAGACAGGAAAAATGATAACTAAAGAATATAAGCAAGGATAGGAGGGCAAGAATAAGGTTAAGCTATCTCTCTCTCTCAATCCCTCTCTACACAGTTTTTCTCATACTCTGCTCTACTAATTCTCACACCGGAGGGTTCACTGGGGGACTACCCCGTTCCCCTCTGGGCTTGCATGCAGGTCACCTGACGGAGTCATCACCCTGAGCCGGAGTCTTCCCGGGTGGATGGGTCGGACCGGTCCAGGCTCTTCAGACTCCGGCTCAGGGTGATGACTCCGTCAGGTGACCTGCATGCAAGCCCAGAGGAGAACGGGGTAGTCCCCCAATGAACCCTCCGGTGTGAGAATTAGTAGAGTAGAGTATGAGAAAAACTGTGTAGAGAGGGATTGAGAGAGAGAGATAGCTTAACCTTATTCTTACCCTTCTATCCTTGCTTATATTCTTTAGTTATCATTTTTCCTGTCTCTTGTGACGTGCTTTCTTTTGCCGAAAGCCTGTGCCGTAGCTTACCTTGTTCAGGGTGATGGAGACTCTGTTCCGGCGGGGGGTGCTGTTGTAATAAATGCTGTGATGGGATGCATTAATGGTGATATGTTGTGATAATAACTCTGCAGATCTTTGTCTGCTGATGTGGCCCGTGCCCCACCTGCCATGTGCCCAAATGCCATTGGCCTTTCATGTCTAGATGGCCTCCAGCTGTCCTGGGCTTTGCCAACCGGGTTATGCCATTGGTCCCGAGCGATGGGTTTGGGGTGGTTTACTGTGGACCGTATGCCTTGTGAGCCTATCCATGTCAGTATATATTTCAATATTTTTTAACACAGGTCATGATTATTGATAGTTCAAAGAATTGTCATTAATATTTTCCAAATTATTATTGCACTCATAATTATTGGTTGTTGAACAATATTTATGGTTGAGAACAAAACAATACAGTCCCATTCTACATTCCAAAACGTGCTTTTTTGTCTTGTTCAAGAAATTTAATTAATTTCTTATGGGAGTATTTAGTCTAGACTCACCTAAAAAATTAAAAATTAAAAATTAATTTAAATAAAAAAACATTTAAAAGGGCCACTTAAAAACAAGTTTGAAAATTACTCATTCCTCATACTTGCACAAAATGATACGTGCCATAATTTGGATATGAAAACTTTATTTTATTAGAAAAATTATATACCAATAAATAAGGGTGCAAAAAAATTACAGTCTCCATATGTTTATAATTATTTTTGATCTCATATTGTAATTTTTCCTAATTATTTTCTAATAAAATTGTTGTAGCAATACTACAAATTCAAATTTATCTACTCAAA